GCTGGCACAGATCCGCCGGTGATCGGGGCGGGCGGCCCGGCGCAGGGGCGCCCGCGGGGGCCCCAGCCAGCCTTGCCTGCTGCCCTCTGCTCTAGGAACATCTGCCTGTGGCTTCCTCGTCGCTGTGTTTGAAACCCTCGCTGGGCTCGCTCTTCGGCAGCCTGGTTAAAATGACGCCGGCAGGATGATGAGGCTGAGGGTTATGTTTTTTGTTTTGATTTTTTGCATTTGATGTTTTCTTTTGACTCTGAGGACTGCGTATTCAGTTCCACTGTGATTGTAATTCTTCTCTGTTAACTCTCAATAAACGACAGTATTGGGTATATGTTTTAAGCCTTTAAAAGGAGCAGCGCATTACCATTTACAGTATGTTTGAAAGCACATTTATTCATAAGTAATTACCCAAGGGACAAAGAAATAAGAAACCAGCAGCTCATTACTATTTACAGTATATCTGAGAACATATTTATTTATAAATATTTACATAAAGAAACAATAAACCTGGAGTGTTCTTTCCCATCTACTGTACTGAGCTGTACTGATGAGGTGTTACCACGTGCTAGAGATTTACAGCATTTTTCCAGCTCTGTGGGTCCTCATAGGTAACCAAGATGGCAATGAGCAGGTCGTATTTTTATCTTGTGTCCAGCAAATATTGAAAGAAATGAGAAAGTATCAAGCACTCTGAAAATGTGTGGGTGTCTATACTGGCTGCCCTAACCTGCGCCATGCCTGACGTTCATCCTCACTTGCTTTGCTCTGTATAAGCTGTGTGTAGCTGAAAGCCTGGTCCAAGGACTGGATCTGTAAGATTAAATAGTATTAGAGTGTTACTTACACTAATAAATTATATACTGTCTTGCAAAAGCAGATAATATACGGGCCAGCAGGTATTTTTGTAACAAGCTGAACTATAAAACTGTTCTGCTTTGGAGACAAGGAGCTAAACTGGCAGTACGTGGAAAATGGACTCTACTGGAAGATGCAGAGGAGGGTTTGATCAGATTGCCACTTACCTGTTTTCAGAAATCTGGGAGAAATTGTTGCCTGGAAAGCATCCTGCTATTTCTACAGTAACGGAGGATTTTTAGATTTTGCAGTCTCAAAAGTTTTAAGAAAGTCCTGGTGATTTGTTGAATATATTTCACAAAGTGAGAGCTTAGGCTGGTACACAGTTCTTTTTAAAACCGAAGGGGTATATAGCAGAGCAGCGTAGGTAAGCTAACATAGCTTGTATTTTGACTTGCTGTTAGTCACTACCTTCACAGAGGGCAGTGACTAACTCTTATTTAATACCAAGACTCAGCATGCTGGGTTGCTGTTTGGGAAATGAGATGAAGTTTTATAACCAGCCAGTCAGAGCACTGCAGAAGGAAATCCGTGGGAAAGACTACGCAGAGGTAGCACGTACTCTGAAGATGAGATTTTTAGATCAGTTTAGTTTGGTACTGCGTGATTTTTGGATCATGGACAGCTGAGTACTAAATTGTGCCCGTGCATTTTCTTTTCCATGAGTAGGGTATCATATTTGAATTGAGCAGCATTTATCCTCTGTGTTTTGTTTGCGTTTCTTTGCTATTAATAACAAAGACTTCATGTACTCAGTGACTCTTTTTGCTTAGGATGCATGTAACTGAATATTTTCAGCCATTGTTATAAGGTATTTAGTTTTCTGCTAAATCCAGTTGCTGATTTAAATGTATTTATTTTTTAGACCAACTTTGCAGAGCAGACTCAACGACACATGAAATTATCCTCATCTACAGCAGAGCTGAATTTGGACTGAATGTTCCCTGAGTGTGGTAACACTTTGTGCTTTTGGGAATTTAGGATAATTGTATAGAGAGAGTGAACGCCAAAGATTTTTTCTGAGATAATTTTGAGATGGGAGCCTCTCCAGAAAGACGGATTCATCTGCACTGTTTACTTCATCGCAGTCACACGTTGCTCAGTCATTACAAGGTTGGTTTTTATCAGCTTCTGGGTAAACTGAACTGCTTCTCTGCCAGGTCCTTAGTTACCACAATACTATCCATCATGGCCTCGCAAGACATCCTCCATTTTCTAGGCGCACACTTCATGAAATTCCTAGTCGTTTCCTTTGCTCCTGTATTCTTTATTCGTATTTTTTAACCAGATTTTAGTCATTGGTTAATTATGGATGCTCTCAAGAAACGTTGCAAGTACTGAAGGTGTAAGACAAAAGCATTAACAAGCAATTACTGTTCATTGCTTAATTTTCACCATTTTAGAATATCACGTATAGAACCATTTGAAAGATATGGAGGAGGTAAGTCTTCCAGGTGATTTTGTATCTTGATGTGTGGGGCCTTACAGCACATGGTGTTAGTTCTTCTCGGGGGCAGGCTGGGATGCTGTTGTCTGTGGACAGCAGGGCTGTGAATGGGGAGCTAAGGAGAGCTGGAAGCTGGGCCTGTCTAACAGGAGCAAGGAGAAGGTGCAAAGGGGAAATACAGTAATCAAAGGGATGAAACATCTGCCTCGCAAAAAGGGACTGGAAAGGCTAGCACGCTGCAGCCCCCTCCTTGGGGGGAGGCAGCTGACGGAGGGTACGGCCGAGGTTTACAAAGTCACGAGGGAGGTGGGGGCTGTGAACACACAATTGTTATCTGCCGAGTCTCGCGATACTAGAACGAGGCAGGTACTTGATAGAAGCAATAGGAGACCTGTTCAAAACGAACAGAAGCCACCGTGCCTTTCCCCAGCAGGCAGTGCATTTCTGGACCTTGCTGCCACAGGAGGCGGTGGAGGGGGACAGTCAGCGGGCTCCGGAAGACAGCGGTTAGACAAGGTCATGGACCACAGAGGCATAAATGAATGCTATAAAGGACCAGGACCCACTGACATCTCTAATAGAACAACTGTGGCTGCTAGGGGACTGTGAGGGGAACGGACCGAGAAAGTGGTTGGTTTCTTGGTTTCCTCTTTAGCTGCTTCTGTCACCATGCCGGAGGCAGACTCCTGTGCTAAATGAGGCAGTAGCATGACCCGCTGCGGCATTTCTTAAGTCCTTATGAGTTTTAGTTATTACTCAGACAGCTGCAGATTTAAGATTTAAAGCATTTACACCCCCTGCCCCCAAAGGCCTACAATTAAGGACCTTGTCTGTGCTCAAGATTTGCCAGACTCCGGCCTTATACTTTATTTGGTGAAACAGTAACATGAACATTTACAGAGCTGTATAAATGATCACTTTCAGTTACTGTCAGCTGAGCTAAGCTTGAGATCTGAAGTGCCAAGGACTTAGAACATCTCTTTCTAATTTTACCCTGGCTCAGAGTATGTTTAGAAGATGAAGTACAGATAAAATCAGATAAGCAAAATTATTTAGTGTTCTGTCACTTGTAGAAGGTTTAAATTATCAGTTAAAAGAAGTGAGAAAAGTATGTTAATCTAGTGGCTGAATTATGAGGCCGTGTTTAGTAACGGGCAAGAGAAGATTACAAGCAGTCCACTGTGAGTGTTTGCAAAGATGCCAGTTTTGGTGGTTCGTGCACCCCTCACAGAGAGATCCTACCTGCAGAGGTAGCAAATCTTCATACATCGTATTAGCAGTAGCTAATTAGCTGGAAGATGGGTATAAACACATGAGTGACTAAACTGAGTGCTGGAGCTGTTTGGAGATTTTCCAGCTGACCGGTTTTCTCTTAGAAAATGCTGATTCTTCCAAATGCAGACGTTCTGCTGGAATACGTAGTATCAATGAGACGATCATTTGTGCTCCTTCCAGGCTGTTCTCGCACTTCGGCAGGCTCTTTGGCAGGCTGCCAGGCAGATGCTATAGCGCTGGGCTCTTTGTCGCCTCGTTGGCCGGATCTGCAGTGCTTCGTGGCTTATCTGGGTACCCAACTCCCTGAGCTCTCCACACCGGGGATGCGTAGGTGGGGATCGTATCTGCCCTTGCACCTCATCAGCTGACTGTGTTGGCTGTCCAGCTCTACCATCCCAGGTGATATCTCTTTGCATGTTTGAAATTGCACAGGTTGAACAGAATCTCTTTCAGGCAGCTCTATTAACGCGCAAAGACCCTAGAAGCAAGAAGAGCACTTAGATAAAATACAATAGATGCATTTTTTTCTGCAAGTCAGCAGGCTGCTGATTACTGATTTTTAGACTCTTCTGAGTCTTATTGAATTCTTTTCATTGACTCTGGGCCATTCCTCCTCTTAGTATGAAAAAATATATAATGGCGTCAGGGCACGTACCAAGCTTCACCCTTACTTAATTTGTTTATGAAGTGAGACTTGTGGCACAAAGGATGTTGACATAGGTTCATATGCATAAAGGTTTCCTAGTGGGTTTCATAGATGATGGCATACATCAAATTTAATGGTGAAAGTTACTTTTGAGGAAAAATAAAAGGAGAGGGAGACAGAGATGGGAAAGGGAAGACTCTTGTCAGTAGCCAGCTGCGGGGAGCCTCCTCGCCGAGCCCCCTCTCCAGGGCAGCGGGTGGTCCCCCCACAATACCTTTCCGATAGTAATTATATGGGTTTCACCAGGACCTGCTCAAACTCCTTACCGGACATTCCTGTTTATGATGCCATTAGTGCTGCTCAGAGCAGGCTTTGACCACGGGCAGGTGCTGCAGTGCTGACGTTGTTTAACCTTGCACATGTGTATTATTGGATCCCTGATGTAAACCAAAAGCTACAGCCAAAGGATAGGAAAAGAGAGGAAAGAAGGGGTGAGCCTCATACCAGTGGCAATCGTTTCCCATGAGAAACTGCCCTAACGATGATATTGGGGGTTGCAGCAGGAGAAGAGCAAAGGAAAAACCGCGGCCACAGCACCTCGGGTGAGAGGTTGCAGAGCTGCAAGTGAGAGGAAGGCTACTGCACCACAAATGGAAAGCCTTTAGCATCACAAACAGGCACCGTGCAACAGACTGTTATATTTTCTCTCCGGAACAAGTATTTGGAGGTCTCTGCATAATCTATCAATTTATTACTCCTTTTCAAGCACTCCTTTTCAAATTCAGAGGATCTTACCTGCCTAAAGGCTCTTCATGTGTTTTGATAATTTTGTATTAATTTGGTAGCTCCTCCACAGCGTATATCACTTTAACTATTTTTATTTCTTTTGCAACCCTGAATGTAGCTGGAACGACAGACAGGAGCAAACAATTGTGCGTTCCTCTTCGTCACAAAACAGTCCTTTATTTCAGTTATAATATTTGTGTGATTGCTTTGGACATTATAAACTGTTAAGACTTGTTGGCTGTTTTGGTCAGGCTCATCTCCAAGATTTTTAACCTACCAATTTAAAGCAGTGCCTTCATAAAGGTAAGACAAATATTGCCATTATGAATTTCACTGCCCAAATGATTTCTAACTTGATCATATTCTCCATGGGAGCGAATTTCCTTAGGGTGGTCATTTAAACACTTATCACTTTAGCTCTGTGGTGTTCAGTACTCCTCGTAGCAGAGAGATTTATGTTGTATTCGGTAATTTCTGTCTTTGTGTCATGGATGTCGAGACTTTTCAACGTATGAGACAGTAAAAATGTTCAGCTCAGCAAGCTATATTCCAGGAAGAAATGTCAACCATGGATTGGTCCATGGTTGGAAGCTTTGACAAGATACTACCTCAAGCAGAAGCAGAAACAGACAAGTGACTCATGTTTGTTTGTCCAGAATATAAGGACAGCTTACCCTGGTGGTGGGAAATTTGTATTTATTCTTTTCTTTTCTACATGAAAACTACTGTAAGAATAAGGAAGGCAGGAATAAGAAAAAGGAGGCTACTGCTAGACAATTAATTCTTGCAAAAGAGAAAAAA